CCCGAACAGCCTTGGTAACGAGGGGGGCTTGCAGGGAAATGGTGCTGAAGAGGGGCTCCGGAGGGCACCGTGCTCACGGGGAGGGTACAAGGTGTGTTTTGGTGGGGTGGTTTGGTTGGTCTGGTTTGCTCGTGTGTGGTTTGGTGGTTTGTTTTTCTCCCACAAATGGGCTGGGGTTAGCTCTGAGGCAGATGGTCTGGATGAACACCCGTTGCCAGGAAGGCTGCTGTGTTCCTAACGTCCTCTCCTTGTGTCCAGCAGGATGGTGTCCATCGTTGTCCAGGTGACCTGCAGCTTCCTTGCCTGGCTGGCTCTGTACGCCTGCTTCTGCTACTGGAACCAGCACCGTTCCTGCGAGTGGAGCTGTCGCTTGGTCACCCTGCTGCATGGGGTGATTGTCACCTGCCTCTCTGGTTACGTTGCTCTCGTGGATGGCCCCTGGCCTCTGACCCATGCAGGTATGCTTGGAGGCTTGCCCTGACACATGGCCTTATCATGCAGTGTGGATACCTCCAGTTCTGTTAAAGGTGGAGTGGGGGGCTGATTGCTTTTGCTGTCTGTTCTCTTATGTGTATGTTTTTGGGGTGTGTTTGGGGCAGAATTTTAACTTCCCTGCTTCTTCTACAGCCTTTATCACTTCTTACTGTTAATATTTTTATTCTTTTCTTGTTTTATCCATGTGCATGTTGAAAGTTTTCAGGTTGGCAGCTTGAGTTTATTACAGCATTGGGTGTAGTGATGTGCTGAGAATAGACCAAATGCTGTTCATATCTTTAGGGGCGTAATAAACTTACGGCGTTTGGCTGTGGGGTTTTGTTTGCTGTTTTCTATCATTAAATCTCAAATAGTTCTGCTGATGGGGGTTAGGCCTTCCATGCCTGCTTTCTAAAAGGGTGGAGAGAAAGGGAGGAACAGAAGTGTGGCAGGATGGGATGGCCTGCCTGGGTCTGCTGGGCAGGCTGAATGTCTTAAGACTCCAGGCTTATGTATGTCTTTCATTTCAGGTTCACCAAACACATCTCTTCAGATCCATGTGCTGTCCCTGACCTTGGGTTACTTTATCTTTGACCTGGGCTGGTGCCTATATTTCCAGACGGAGGGGGACCTAATGCTGCTCCATCACACTCTGAGCATCTGTGGCATGATCATGGTGCTGGGGCTCGGGAAGTCTGCTACGGAAGTCAATGCTGTTGTATTTGTTAGTGAGATCACCAACCCACTGCTCCAGACCCGCTGGTTTCTGCGGGAAATGGGATGTTACCACACTTTCCTGGGAGAAGTGGTGGATTTCTTCTTTGTGTTCCTCTTCCTGGTGCTGCGAATCGGGGGAGGAGCTTTGATCATGTATGCCATGGTGACATCCCCTGATCCCAACTGGTTCCTCAAGGCTGGAGGCCTGGCCATGTACATTGTATCTTTGGGCTTCACTGTTGAAATCTTCCGCTTCATCAGGAGGAAAATAGTGAAAAAATATTGTTCCTTGACAAACACCAGGAGTATGAATGCACCTGTGAAAACTAACGGGCACTTGAAAGCTCATTAACAGATTGTGGATGACAATCCTTTGGGCTAAAGTCCTGGCTGCTGAAGCCTATTCCTGTGAAAAGAACTCCTGAAAGTGATGTGGAATTGACTTTCTGGCACTGGGCTGCTGCCCCTGGAGGAGATGAATCAGTGCTAGGAATGTGGGAAAGCTGACAGAAGAGGGGTTTGAGTGGAAATCTGAGAAGCCTGGCATGCCTGCT